GCCACATGTGACAGTCACGTGGCGTCGGCGCAGCATCAATCCGGACAAGATTTCTAACCAGAATGCACCGCTTTAAGACAGATTTCGATCGATCTGCGCAGCGCTGCATGAAGTCGAACGCACCTAATGACCACGGCGGTGACGCGGTTGTCAGGTTGTCATGGTGACCGTCACAGCCCTAGTTTTAAGTGAATATATATATATATATATATATATATATATATATATATATATATATATATATAAATAAAAATATCGCAATATATATCGCAAGAGAAAAAAATATCGCAATGTCAATTTTTTCCAATATCGTGCAGCCCTACCGTCAACACCGTCTATCGTGGCAAGCCTAATGCTCACGTAAATCATATTCAACTCTTTTAGATTTGCCTTCACTCATTTTTGACTTCCGTCCTCAACACATGATTTATTTTCAACACATTTTTAAACATAATAGTTTTATTTATAATATCTACTTTTTTATCTTCCCCATGCTGACAGTCAGTGCATAACATTTAACAAGTTATTTTGTTGTATTCAGACAAAGTACCTTTAAATATTTTAGTTTTTTATTAGGATTAAAGTGTAATTTAGACAGTTCAATCAGTTATCTACAAAAGGTAAAAAAAAAAAGTTAAAATAGAAAGTTAAAATAATTATCAATTCAAAAATTAAAAATGGCGCGGCCCCTAGTACGTGGCCCCTGCCCGCCCCCCACAGGTTAAAAGTAAGCTAATGCAATTTCATAATGCAAATCTTAAATGCATGCTAACCAACAAATGATCAAAGGAAATTTATATATGTAATACAATATGAATTGATGTTTACTTTAAACTTTAATTATATTGTTCTATTAAAATTATTTTTTTTATATATTTTGTCAAATAAAATATTTTTGTAGAGACATCCACCATCATTTTGGGGCTAAAAAGTATCAGTTCAGGCACTGTTTTGGTACCGGTATCATTTTAAAAGTATCGATTTAGCACCCGTCAAAAAAACCTAAACGATACCCAACCCTAATCAACAAAGCTAAATAGAGCTGCACAATGAATCGAAATGATCTCGATTCGTCCCCTAGACGAACTTAATTCAAGTTCAGGAGAGAAGCAAAGGTGGCTGTACGAGTCTTTTCATTATTTCACATACATTGCTCTGTGACATGGACACCTCCAAATTATGTTAAAAGAGTCACATACTGTATTTCTAAGGTATAATTCACCTAAAAATTTCATTTTTGTCTTCATATAATCATATAACAGTGAGCTGTTTCCGCAGAGGGCGGCTGCGCGCTCTACTTAATGATAAATCCTTTAGTGAACAGAACCTGCAGTGAATGACAGGTAATACAGTTGTAAATAATATTGAGTTTGTTTCACAGAGTGATCGTTTGGGTGCCGCGCATGAAGTATAAGCAGCACTAAGCAGTGAAAATTAAACCGAAAGCGTGCACATCATTTAAATAATCATGTCGCATTTTTGAGTTATGATTGCGACAAGCATTTGATATGTTATTTCTTTCATAGTGAACATACAGTTGTGCAAGAAAATAAATGTTTACAGTGTCAGTAACTACTCTATAATGTTGATTTTACCTGTGAATTAGATGGTCTAATAATGTTGTCAATGACTGCAAGCATATATCTCAAACATAATTCAACATCAGAATTATTATAGGTAGAATAGAATTATTTATAGAAACCAGTAGACCTACACATAATATTATTATTGTTGTTTTAGCACGTTTGAGAAACAAACAATAATAACTGCAGACTCATATTAAGCTTTATTTTACATCTAAAGAATCATGAGAAAATCGTGATCTTGATTTTAAACAAAAAAAAAAAATTGTGATTCTTATTTTAGCCAGAATTGTGCAGCTCTCCAGCTTAATTATGCTTATAAACAAATCAGCAGCTTGTTTACATTCATTGGATATAATCAGGGGTCTGTTCTTCGTACCTCGCTTAAATGATCTAAGATGATTTGGCAGATCCTGGATCTTTTAATCTTGATAACTGATCTCTCGCTAATTTGGTTCTTCAAACAAGTTCGCGAATTAGATTAGAATGTCTGGATAAACTGATCTGAGATCGCTGTGTGTGTTGTGAAGGACAGATCTATCGATCCTCGAAATCATGATCAGCAATGCAACGATTGGCTGACGGCACAGCAGCGTAATGACATCATCTGATTAATATTCAATTATCCATGTGAGCAAAATTACGTCAAATTAGCAGTAAACAGCTTGTTAAATATGACACGCAATAACCTTCCACATTTGTTGTGAGATTCAAGAGTATTCAAATACAAGAGTATTCATCATGTATTTAAATGCATATCAATGTATTTAGTTCTACATTTAGAAAAGATTTTCTTTATTTTAGTAGCCGTTTTTTTAATCGGTGTAAAGAATAAATGGTTGTTTACAAAAACATTTTGATATTGGTAAAGGTGTCTGCAACTATTGTGAAGCATCAAATCACTGACATATTAACTATCAAAACATGTTCATGACTGCATAAATGTATTATTGCTTTAAAAATTTCACATATGTTTATTATACACAATTTGTACTAAGCGATCTAAAAAGTTCATATCAATAAGTTTTCTCTGTGCACCACCAGGTGGCAGTCTTTGTACTTTCATTTCGAGAGTGCAGATTGCATAAGTTTTATTAATATATATAACTTTATTTATTTTATTAATAACTATAACTTATAGTTATATATATATATATATATATATATATATATATATATATATATATATATATATATATATATATAGTTTTAAAAGTATTTACTCTTTTCCCAAGTGTATATAACTACTACTGTAAGAAAATATCAGAATTGGGAACATACTTTCTGTATTATATTTGCTTGAACTGAGCCGATCTAATCCTGTTTATATAAATTGAACCTGCTCCCGATCAGGTTTAACCTGGCAGAACTGTTGCTATGACAACAACTCTCGGATCAGCTTTGAAGAACGAAACGATCCTGGATCGTGTCAAATCGTCAATATCCAAATCCAGCTAACTGAGTAATCCACGTACGAAGAACGGACCCCAGGGCCGGAGTGGGACTCCTTTTCAGCCCTTGAGTTTCAAGCCTTTGACCGGCCCACCTCAGTTCACGACTGACTATATGAAAATAAGATCATTTCCAATTCAGTTTCAAATTACACTATCAAGTTTAAAAAAAAAAAAAAAAAAAAAACTGCTTTAGAACTTCAAATGTTGAACAACCTTACAGTTTTATATGTCTTAACAATAAAAATGAAAAAAAAAAAAAAGTTAATCACTGGTGAGGATCGAACACGGGTCAGCGGCTTGATAACGCAACGTGCTGACCACTAGACCACAATGGTACTGCTATGCATGCTTTCCCGGGATGATATTTCATAAATAAGAATACAATACAATACATAAGAATAGCGGAGCTGCGGCAAAATAATGGATAAAAATTGTGAGGCTATGGTCAAATAAATAAATAAATGAAAAAAAGTGTGACTGCTGCTTTCTCCGTTTGCCTAGCTGGAGAGAAACAGTCTGCGCAATTGAAGCGCAGAGTTGGTTTCATTGACTACAGCTCTCATCTGATCGGCTGAAAGATACGAGTTACCCTGCCTCTGCGTATCCAGGGGGAGTCGTACGTGAAAGAGGATTTGCACATTCTCATTCAGGATAAACTCGCAAGTTTTAAACATTCAAAACTTTTTGTACACTTTTATACATTTGTACACTTTTATACATACAATGGTGTTTTGCATTTGTGAAACGTATTTTATGAAAATGTATTTTTATTTTGAGCACGTGAAAATTTTTGTGAATATAAATATGTTACGCACGTGAGTTTGATTTTATGCACGTGAATTTGACTACGCATGTGCACATAGTGTCTTTTGCGTGAATTTCTTTTGAGACTAAACTGATTCCATATAAATGTCACTAATGTCAGTGACACATGCCACTTATGTCAGTAATGTCAGTGATCTTGTGACATGTGCCAGTAGGTGTCAGTATAAGCACGTTATAAGCTTATTAATCTTATAAGTTTCCATTTTCTTTAATATTTAAAAATGACTAGGCAAATGACACCTATTATCTTACATGAATATATGTTATGAATTTATAACATGCGTTTTATTATAACTTTACAAGGCAATTTTTTTAAATACCTTAAAACGAAAATAAGTTAAATAATAAAATAAATTAATAAATTAACAAACAAAAAGAAGTCCATTTAGTAGCCAACAAAGGAACCCCCACAATGCAATGATATGGCACAACAGATAAGTGTAACCCCTCCTTTACATAAGCATGCCACAATAAATTTGAATGACGTCAAATCACTAAATATTACATGCGAAAGTATGACTACGAATACGTAAAATAAATGCTTTTCAATTAAAACTTCATGGAGTAGGCCAGCATATAAACTAACTTGCGACGCAATGAATCAGGTTAAAAGTCGCGTAATGATTTTCATTAAGCTTTGCCGGGTGTCAATGTCACTGCATTGACATGCAGCGCGACACTCTTGAGTGACATGCCTCTACCGAGTGACACATGACAGTGAAAATCGATTTTGTCACTACACTCACTGGCATGTGCCAGTGGCATCTGTACGTCAGATGTCGCGTCACTTCATGTTAAAACTGCTGCTAGGAATAACTCACGATGGCACCCCACCTTAAAAAAATCGGATTAATGCAAATTACATGGGTTGCCCCATAAAACTCGAAAAATACGGAACTCCGTATTTGTACAGAAGGATCCCATGTCTGAGAGGATTTCCTGAAAACATGTTTCATTAGATTTAATTTCAACAATCCACTCTGTGATGTTGAAACGTAAATTCAGAAGCGAAGCTTTTCTACAATTACAATACACAAAAACATTACCGTAAATAATAACCTCGTTATTACCAACAGCCATTTTCCTCAACCGGAAAACTCTGTTGAAGAAGAGTATAAAACAAAAATATCAAACTCACCTAAACTAGACAGAGACAGTACGGGGTTTTCTTTGGCCAGAAGGTTTCTCAGATCATACACAATATTCCTCAAAAACGGAGAGGCGGATAGCTCTTGCTGTTTGTGAACAAAACTTCTTGTTTTCTGCAGGTACCAGTGCTCTTGCAAAAGGTAGTTGCAAACTACGGACTTTGCCTCAGAAACCAGAGACTCGTCAACAGCCAGCGCAGAACCTGCTTCTGCCCCGACGTATTTCTCTGGCAGACCGCTGATATAGGCTGTTTTGGTATAGTGCTGATACCATCTGTCCGCGTTGAGAGAAAATGTTTGCGGGTAAATGACGTACTTCTTGCGCTGGACACGAGTGAGCATTCGAATCTTCTCCTTGACACTGCACGAACGCAGCTGGCCGAAAAACTCGTCCACTACACGCCTCTTGGCCGATGTGCTCTTCGCGGTCGAGGACGGCAGAATGGGCGGATATAATTCCTTTACTGTGGAAGCTTTAGCCTGGACATTTCGGTTACAATTGTGGCGTACTAATGTAACGGAAAGAAAATGGCACAAGCTTCGCCTGGTGCAAGTTGCCATGTTCACCTTCTTCTTCGGTTTTTCTTTCTTCTTCTTATATATTTATTGGCGCTTGACAAAAAACATATAGTGTATTTCCGCCACCAACTGGTACGGAGTGTGCATCATTATGACTCTATAGTCCAAATCTATTACAATGTGATTACTCCAGTCGGCAAATTATGAACAAAAGTGTAACTGGCCATTCTTGTGTCAAATCAGACAATCAGTCAATTTGATAGAGCGAGAAGAATTCTGTAAATTAGGGTTACACGTGGGTGTTCTCCAAAGGGAGTATTTGTGGATGCAAAAAATACATTAAGACTCAAATGATGAGTACAGAACCAAAAAGTAAAGTCTATTGGATAGGACAGATAGAAAATATAAGACAAATAAAATAAGAAAAATATGAAAGAGATTCAGATCTAGAAAAATAATGTTAGGAAGGGATTAAAAAAGGGGGAAAAAAGAAGAGCAACAAAAAATTTAATTAACTACAGGTATAGTACAACAGGTCAAAGTGAGCATTTATAAAGAACAAAATGAAGTTTTTATGACATTTTTGTTCCACATATATTCATATAAGTAAAAAAAATAATAAATAAAAAACTGGGACGCAAAAGATTAATATTAAAAGAAAAATCAGAACAGAGAGAGTGGAATCTATAAAGAAATCGAGTGATTTTTAGTCAACTTGTAAAAAAATTACAACAAAAATGCATGTACAAGACGTTTGATGAGAGAGCAAAAAGTAATTAGGAGCTGAATGTGAAATACAGAAATTAATATAACATGATAATTGAGAAATAGGTCAGAAAGTCAAATTTCAACAGTTCAGGGCCTGTACAGGGAGGATTAAAATAAAAACAGATGTAGGTCTGCCAAGAAAATACTAGATGCTAAAATAGGTATAAAAACACTGGAACTTTTGGTGAAAACAGGATTAATTATGCTATGTCCTTGACATTTCTTACATCAGTTTTAATTTGATTATGATTATATGACTAATAAAATGTATTTAATTTGAATTTAAGTTTTTTAATTATGGCATTAGTCTAAACAGACAAAAGTGTCATGTATTTTGTATGAGTGTGCTACCCGTACCTGCGTGACGTCATCGTGTGTGTTCAGTTAATAAAAGAATACTGCATGGAACAGCAGGACCACTCTAGTGTTGTCTCATACATCATTTAAAAATGTAAAATACCAAAAAGTATTGTTTACAACTGACAAAAGTCTTGTCGCCTATCCAAGAGCAACAAATAATAACTTCAGTTCTAGTTGATCATTTGGTATCAGAAGTGGCTTATAAGAAAGGCAAAGGCCTTTAGATTACGCTTATTTTACCAAAATAAAATTTTATCATGTCTTTATTATTTAATTAGGACAGACAGGTCTGACTTTGCTAAGACAAAAGTCTTGTTACATCTTTAAAGGATTCACAATCAAAAAGCTAGCACATCACCTGTGACAGATACTGTAATTTACACATTCCCGGGTGTGTAGAAGAAGAACCACTAATAGTTACAAAAGATACTAGTGTCTGATAAATAAATACTAGTACAAATTAATAACTACTATCTATTTAATAGTTACTAGTATCTAATGGATTGGTATCAGTATCTAAATAAATAAGTATCTAAATAAGTACTGGAATCTAATTTCTGCTTACAGGCTATAGATTAAATTTTAAAACGGCTTGCCATATGTTGAAATCAACAATTAAATTATTGATATCAAAATTGTAATTCTTGATATCAACAATTCAATTTTTCATATCAACAATTAAATTTTTGATATCAAGAACTGAATTGTTGATATCAATAATGTTGATTGTTGATATCAAAATGTAATTGTTGATATGAAGAATACATATCCTGAGAAGGAATAAAAGTCATAACGGCTTGCCATACTCTTTCTGACAGGGACAGATCTTTCTTCAATGGCTGGAGTGATCAATATATCAAAGAAAATACAGAAATAAGCAACATCCTTAAAATGTGTAAACCCTGAGTTATCAAGAGTGTGTTCATGATTGTGTGTGGTTCCTTGAACATGAGTCAGATCAAAAGTGTTAAAAACAGTCATCAGTTCTTTTGCAGCATTGATTTGTGGATTATCAATGTGAATAAATATTAAAATCCCCAGCAATACTAAAATAGTCAAATTCAGAAGTTACTATTGATAACAGCTTTGTAAAATCAGCAATAAAAGTTGGAGAATATTTTGTAGATAATGATCAGTAAAATGTGTGGAGCATCTTTTAATGCTATACTCAGATAATCAAAGTCACCAAATGACACTTGTTTACACTCATAGGCATTTTTAAACAGGGATGCCTCCACCTCTCCTATTAACTCTGCAAACACTCAAAAAAATCTAAGTCTAAAGGAGCTATTTCATTCAGGACTGCTGCGCTACAACTGTCATCTAGCCAAGTTTCATTTAAAAGCATAAAATTAAGACAATTTGTGTTGAAAAAATTATTGACTAAAAATGACTTATTGTTAAGTGATCGGATGTTTAAAAGTGCTTACTTAGCAGTTTTAGCTGTTTTTCTTACAGCAGTCTCAGATTTACATTTAATAGACACTAAATTTGAATGATTTGCTATACGGCTTGAAGAAGTCTTTGGTTTTCTGTCACGTATACAACACATATCTGCGTACATAAAGCTACGCTTATTTTGGGCAAGCGGAGACAGGAACACTTCCCAAAAGACATTATAGTTTGAACGCGCTTATGTTATTTATTCATTTTCTTTTTGGTTTAGTCCCTTTATTAATCTGGAGTTACCACAGCAGAATGAACTGACATCTTTTTCAGCACATTTCTACGCAGCGGATGCCCTTCCAGCCACAACCCATCACTTGGAAACATCCATTCACACTCATTCACACACATACACTACAGACAATTTAGCCTAACCAATTCACCTGTACCGCATGTCTTTGGACTGTGGGGGAAACCGACGCACCCAGAGGAACACGTAAACGCAGGGAGAACATGCAAACTCCACACAGAAACGCCAACTGACCCAGCCGAGACCGGAACCAGCAAACTTCTTGCTGTGAGGCGACAGCACTACCTAGAGCGCCACTGCGTCTCCATAATCCTGGACCAGGCCTTATGCTAAGCAGCTGCTGTGGTGATCATGGAGAAGTGGAGAGCATGAGACTGATTCCTATAAGATCCCAGTGATAGATGAATCTTCGTATTGATCCCTAAGGGCCAGCCTGTACACCTCTCCCACCTGCAGCCACTCCACGATGGGCGTCCAGAGTTATCCAGCCTACATTGTCTAGACTGCAGCTCTGCACAAGCAGGCACGTGCACACATAGTGCTCAACCTGTGCAGTGCACATGCCCTTTTTAATTTTGGATAGAAAGTGCCCTTCAAAATTGATCTGAAGTGTCCCCGCGCCAACAATGCCCACCCCCACCCCACCGCTACTCACTTTGCGACAAACCAAAAAACTAAAAAATCCATTAATTTTCACTAGTTGTATTAGTATTTTTTTATTACTATGCTGGTAACACTTTACAATAAGGTTCATTAGTTAATGCATTTACTAACACAAACTAATCATGAACAACACATGTACAGCATTTATTAGTCATAATTGAACATATACTAATGCATTATTAACATCCAAGTCCATGCTTGTTAACATTAGTTAATGCACCATGAGTTAACATGAACTAACAATGAACTACTGTATTTTCATTAACTAACGTTAACTAACATGAACAAATACAGTAGTAAATGTGTTGTTCATTGTTTGTTCCCGTTAGTAAATTGATTAATTAACATTTGCTAATGGACCATATTGTAAAGTGTGACCATTATACTTTGAATGCTTTAAATATAAGTTAAATCTTTGTATACTAGAAATATATGTACTGTATATCCTTTATTTTACAAATGCGGGTAATACATTATAGATTTAAAAAAAAAATTATATAAATAATTTTTTTTAATTCAACTACTGTGCCCAGGGGCCTCTGCATTCTTAATCTGGGTCTGCTTTCAGCAGTAAAAATTAATCCACACTTATATCTGAAGCTGCTTTGACACAATCTACATCACAAAGGTGGTATAGAAATAAAGATTAATTGAACTGAAATTGAAAAGTCTATATTGTACAATATTGTCTATAGTGTAGTATAATAATAATAATAATAATAATAATAATAATAATAATAATAATAATAATAATAATAATAATAATAATAATGAAATATGAATACAAATTCATAATAATAATAATAATAATAATAATAACAATAATAATAATAATAATACATTAATTTATTCATTTTCTTTTCGACTAAGTCCCTTTATTAGTCTGGGGTCATCACAGTGAAATGAACAGCAAACCTATCCAGCGTAAATTTTACGCAGCGGATGGCCTTCCAGCTGCAACCCATCTCTGGGAAACATCATTCACATTCATACACTATGGCAATTTAGCTTACCCAATTCACCTGTACCGCATGTCTTTGAACTGTAGGGGAAAACTGGAGCACCTAGAGGAAACCCATGCGAACACGTGGAGAACATGCAAACTCCACACAGAAACGCCAACTGACCCAGCTGAGCCTCGAACCAGCGAATAAACTGTACATTTAATAGAATAAACTGTACATTTAATAATCAACATTTATGGATAAAACAGTAATAATAAATATTTATAATCAGCATATTTACAAGACTCATTCATAATAATCTAGATGTGTGTATTTGTTTTCTCTCTCTCTCTCTCTCTCTCTCTCTCTCTCTCTCTCTCTCTCTCTCTCTCTCTCTCTCTCTGTTTCTGTGTTAGTTCTAAATGGCATTGAAAAATAAACTAAAATTAAAAATGACCTGCAGGGAGGGTTCTGCGAAGGTTAGATTTTGGTTACAAAAATAAGAAAAGAAAACCCCTGCAGAATACGTTCCCAAAACCGTTTGTTTCAATAAAATCGGGACCGATGAGTGAATGTTAAGGGAAGTATATGTGTTTGCATTCTCCAAGTTAAATAATA